GACGTCTCAGACGCCTTCTCTCTCTCTCTCCTCCCTCTCAACACACTTTTTCTTTTTCTTTCTTTCTTTTCTTCCTTCCCCCCTCTCTCTCTCCCTCTCAAACACATGATGTGATGGTGGTTGTGTATATCTGATGTTCCCACTGAATTAAAACCATTTGTACGATGCATATGATTGAGTAAAATTTTTAAAATGTACTACCATGAACCTTGTTTTTATCGGCCCACCTTTTTTTTCGCCCGCTCGCATTAGATTTGGAGTCTGCGGAGGATGTCATCCATAACATTTAATTTATATGCTGTGGCCTAATAATGACGGGTGTGTTATTAGGTGGCTGGTCTTTGACGGCAAATGCTAAACGGGGCTGGTACATTGTGACAAAGTCAATCTGGAAAAGGCAGTTTTTGAGCCTGCGTACCTGCTTTAGGTTTCAAGCGGCCACCTACATGTACATGTATGTCGTGAGATTTTTGTTATTAATCATACATACAAACAGAATACAGGACCTAGTGGTGGCGCATTCAAGTTAGGAACTTATTTTGACACCACCGCTAAATAAATACATACAATAAAGAAAATGAACATAAGTCCGGTTCCCCACGAAATAATTGAATAATAACAATAGAAGGACATTATTACAAATATCAAAAGAAGAAAAAAACGGCCTTTAAAAACGTTCTGTTGAAGTAATAAAGATCTGGGTAAGTAGTAATATGTTGGGGTTGACAACTGATGAGTACATAGGACTACCACGGAGTAGAAGAAAAGTTTAAGTGTTGTCCTGCAAGAGTTGTAAGATCTAGCGTGTGTCCTAAAAGTCTGGGAAGTTTGCCAACGAGTGTTGAGCGTTGTCGTGAGATTGGTGTACGATAGCAAATTGAGGGACTGTGGGCTGTCTTGCCATATCGCACAATAATGCACTGTCTGGTTAGGGAAAAGACTGCCTATGTTTTAGAGTATTTTGTCGGTAGATGGTTCTTTCGTAGCCTGGTTAAAAAGTCTAAAATCGCACGACGTCCTACAGCGGATGTAGCGACGTCTTTGATTTGCGATAACTCAGTTAGGAATCAGCAGTCACAAATTGGATATAGATACAGGCAGATACTATAACATAGCCCCTGTCCAAAGGTTCTGTCCATTTTGTCTAAAGCAAATTGAAGACGAATTTCACCTTATCATGAAATGCTCTAGTCTCTTAAGTTTCATTCTATGCCCTTTCTTTTTACCTCCATGAAAAATGGAGTTATTGTTTTTGGCGGCGTCTGTCTGTGTGTCTGTGTGTGTGTGTGTGTGTCTGTGTGTCTGTGTGTGTTTCCGCAACTTTGTAGTCAGCATAACTTCATAACGCCTTTATGGATTGTGATGATATTTGGTATGCTGATAAGTCTTAGGAAGACAAAGGTCAAGGTCAAATATGGGCCTCCTGGTGGATGACCTTGGTACTGCAGCAGAACTTCCGGTTTTGTATCTTTGGTCCTGAACATGCTATGGTCTTGAATTTTTGGTGACAGATAGCTTTTCCTGTCAGGAATAAGTGGTGTGGGTTTGGTCCCCCTAGCAGCTTGTTCAGGAACTGCAGGGGACTTTCGGGCGAAATCTTTGAAAGCCAATAAGTCCAGATAGGAACAGCGTATTTTCATCATTTTTGGTGTGTAGGTATCTGACAGAGAGATGTACATAATTAACTGCAAATTATGCAGATGAGGACTTTATTTGCATAATTAATGAGGAAATTCTATAATTACAGTGTTTTACATTATAGAACTTTCATACATGTAATGTATGTAACCTATGGCAGATGGAACATCAATAGATACTAATTATGCAAATGATGACCTAATTTGCATAATTAATGCAAAAAATCTATGATTTCTCAATGGTGAATGATGGGAATGTCATACTTGGGACATCTTTAAGTTAATCAAAAGTTAACATCACGATACATATATTATGTTAATGCAGAGGTTATTTGCGTAATTAAAGAAGAAATTTACATTTACATATCAAGCCCATATTTCATGGAGGTATGAGATCTCGGAACTCTTGTTGTACTATGTTCAGTAGATCTTGCCATACGTTGTACCTTGTACAATTGTCGTGCAATAAAGTTCTCCTATATAGTCCATATCCATATAAACAAATCCACGCGAATGCCACCGTGTCAACTGTGACCCTCACTCAGGTGTAGGGACTGACACGGTCAACATACTCGGAAAGTCTGTATCTGTATATCTGTACATGAATTTGTATCTGATTGCAAGTAAAGATATTGAGTGATTGCCATAATATAGTCCATATCCCCGCCATCGCCCCCCCCCCCCCCTGCCCCAAGGGGTTAACGTTGGAATGCTCACCACACGTCTTACGCCCTTAATCCTCGGCACACATATCTGTACGGCGGGGTTTGTTTAGTTTGTGCCGGTCCCGGCGGGAGTGAGTTCACTGGAACAACTAACCCCAGGCCGTGTGGGTAAACATTGCCGGAGCGGGAGCGGGAGGGCCTACATGGGGGTTAGGGGGATCACGAAGCGGGGAAATAAAACTAGTGATTTCACTCGCAAATCCGCTGCTAAAGATCTACAGTCTGGGGTTGTACAAGTACAATGTACAAGTACTTTTAATAACTGTTTGTTTACCAAGAACTTTAAATGTTTAGATATTGAGCAATTTGTATGTTTACGGTTGTTGTTGTTTACCCGGTCACTACATGGTGGAAAACACCGCGTTTACAAATACAACCTTAGCAATGCGTTTTTTATTATAATAATTCTTTTATAAGAAATCATAATAAAACCTGTAGCGATTAGTGTATTCAGAAACCCCATGTACAGCCATGGCCTCAGCCCTCCCCCCAGCCATGTGTGCATGTAGAACATGTTTATAACCTACCTTCGCAGGCGGTGAATGTGGAGAAACCTTGGCCGTCGCTTTCTCTTCCCTTTTCTTGATGATCCTGGCTTTAGTTGGGGGGATGGCCACAGGTTGACACACACCATAGTGAATGGATTTACACACGATCGCTGCACCAGACTCCAAGCGTTGTACCACGTTACAAACGTCGCAATGGTGGATCGCCCGGCTACAACGCTGGTCAACTAGAACACTGTGATAAATCGGGATCTTCAAACCTAGAAACTGGCAGGGCACCGCACATAGCGTCGTCATGGCAGGGAGATTTTTTCCTCACATCTTCTTTCGATGTTAAACGTGTGGGAAACGCACCAACCTACGGAAGTGGAGCCGGCTGGGTCCTTAAAAGGGCGCTAACCTTAAGAAGCGTCCTGGTGGTTACGTCGTTAGCTATGACGTGTGGTGAAGCCTTCTTGCCTGCGCAAGACGTTCAAGGTTTAGATCCGAGAAGCGAAAGGACGTTATATCCGACGTCTTGGCCACGAAATGTTCCCGAATCTTGGACGGAATATATTCCTGGGTTTACCCTGGGTCAGGTGGCGTAGTCGGCTTGCGGGTGGTCGTGTCCTAGTGTTTCAATATCGCACCGACATCACAGCAACTCTCCGAAATATCCAGCAGCAAAAATATCCCGGGCTAGCAGCTAGTACGTACCGGCGGCGGGGTAAAAATATCCCAGCTCCCCAAACATGTAACGCCGGCGCGGCCCTGGCAGCTGGGACGCCGACAACCCAAACTTGTCCCATATATGGAGAAGGCACGCCAGAACTTAGATAGCGTTACACTGGCAAAGGCACGGCGAACAGCCAAGCACTGCAGTTAAAATATTACGTCCCAAACACGATATATATATATACTTGGCTTGATCACCAGGCATCAGAGGGACTTGAAAAGAAATAATTTTGACCTTCGTGACACTTGTCTTCGCTTTTATGTAGCGACAAATCGGCACACAGGATAGTCGGCACTTTGAAAAAATACGTTCCAAGATTTCGAAAACACAAACAGGATTTTCTGACATTCTGGAACGTGGAAGTCATTATGTGATAACATAATCTACATTGTTGTCAACAAATTTGTTTGTTTGTGTTTCCATATGAGAACGCAGTATAGGATAGGATATATACCAGTATAGGATACAGGCATATAGGCTGCGCGGCATATAGAAATTAAATTACGTCTTTTTCTAGTAGGTGATTAGGCATCCAATGCGATTTCAGGGCAGCAAAACTGGAAATATTCTGAATAAGGCGATCTTTGTGATATTGACACCTACTATCCTACATTAGCACATTTAAAATCATTATTTCATACTTTGGGCATTTAAAACTGGAGAAATTCTGGGTGGTACCTTAAAATCAGCCCAGGGCCCTTCCAGTAACCGTTTTTCGTCAGAATATTGGGGATTTTTTCTCCATGAGGGTCAGTATACATTAGGACAGTGTGGTTTCAACTCATTACTAGTATGTAGATAAATGGCTAGAATATTGGCTTTGAAAAATCGTATTTCCAAGCCCTAATAACTGCACTGGATGCCTTTAAAAATTTGTACACTGGTTTACAGACACGAATCATCCCTTTGAATTTGGCATATTCTTAAATCTATGCAGACTTTCACGATTTTTAAGAATTGAGTCTTCTATACTTCTGACTCCTATCTCATAGTATGTCAATATATGGCTGGTTCTAAATATTTATTGGTGGTATAAAATAAATAAATAAAGGAGCTCCTATTTAAAAGGTATGAAATTAGGACAAAAATGTAATAAGAAATGACAGTATATGTCTTTTTTCCTTTTTCAGAATATATTTTCTTGTTGCTGCCCCTGAAATTGCACTACATGCATGCCTTCATATCCTTGGTATTATAAGCAAATGATTTACAGTTTTAACAAAACAGAAAAAAGGCCTCAGAACATCTAGAAAATTTGTCATGCCAACATGACTTTTGCTGGGTGGCACACGAACACATGTACCAGATACATGTAGACTGGTGGTACATTTGTGACAAATGGTTTTGCCCACAAGACTAGTGGTATGGTGAAGTTTTGTGCCAATCTCTCTTATTTTATCTTTTTTATTTTATTTCATTTTATGACGATTTACCACATTTGTGGAAGGATTGACATAACAGGTGACTATCACCTCTTCAAAGATGTCAACCCCGAGACCAGACTGTTAGGTTTGAACCACTCACACCGGGAACGTCCCCTGCGTCCCCTCCCCTATTTTCACTGCTCACTCATTGGTTGAATCCGATATGACGTAATCAAACACCCATATAAGGAATGGAAGGCGGATAACTTCACTGAGTGCAGTCTTGGCAAGCCTCCGCCACGCATCGAAGCGAGCTCCGATAGACTGTCAGCACGAGCGGCCCCGCGGCGGGCGCACCTCGGAGACACCTCATGCCCCGTACAGACGGACGCGGGTTTTGGTCGCCGACGCTGGAGAAGCAGAGGTCGAATTTCCCGAAGAGAAGGTTTGGGTAGTGTGGAGTACGATACAGGAGGCTGAGAATTTTCGCTGTGGAACGTTAGTGTCGTCTCCTTTTTTCCCCTCCGTTTGGAGGGTGTGGATTTTTCTCTGTTTGAGTTCTCCGCTGTTTCCAGTGCCACGTGCTACTAGTTTTGTGTTTCGTTTTTTACTGAGGCTTGTCAGTGGTGTGTACAGATAGCTTTTGCTTCGTTTTTCTTTGCTCACATTTTGTTTTCCGACGGAGAATGCGTGGTTTTGTCTGTAAGAATGTCGGCGAGAGCTTCGCACGTGGGCATTTGCATATGAATGCGTGAGTGTCTGCCTGAGCCAGGTTTGATTAGTTTTGGTCCTTTTCAGGGTTTTCTTTCTGATTAGGTTTCCGTGGGTGGTTGTAGCCGTATTTAGCTAGCAGGGGAGGTTTCCCGAGCGGTGTTCCTTCGGCTTCGTGCCCATAGATCGTGTTGCGGGTTGCCCTCGCGGTGGAGGCGCGCTCGGGCGGGTAGTGTGGTAGCAGTGTGAAAGGTTTTCACGAGGTTTACAGATGGCAGGTTAACAAGTTGTGCCCTTTACCCTCACAGTCATGGCAGCACAACAACCTCGTTTCCCAGCGGTCCAAGATGTGGAAAGGCAGCAGCAGACCCCACCTCCACCACAACACGTGGGACTGCAACGGGCACCTGGGCTACAACAGCAGGGTCCGCAGCAGCAGGGTTTACAGCAACAGGCGCCACTACCACAGGGGCAGTTGCCGGTCGGAGGCGCTCACGTAGCACCTCAGCAGGCTCAGTTGCCTACAGCTCAGGTGATTTGGTTTTTATGCTACGTTACTCGCGTCTTTTGACGGAAATCTCTTTGCTGATTTTGCTCCGTTTGTCGATTTTGATTTGTGCCTTTGGAGTGCAATGTTTGTAATTGTCATGTGTGGTAGTTCAATTATTTCATTGAGTATGCCTTTTTTGCATGAGTTTGTGATTTTGTGAGGTTAAGAATCTCGTCGCGCATGTTGTATCCGTCGATGTGTGTTAGTTGAGTGTTTTTGGGCGCCTTTCAAGTGCCAGCACTCGACGGCAGACAATCGGGCGTTGAACACACATGGCGAGCGGAAAAAGATTGGCCGTCGTGCATGTTGTATCCGTCGATATTTGTCACTTGAGTGTTTTTGGGCGCTTTTCAAGTGCCAGCACTCGACGGCAGACAATCGGGCGTTGAACACACATGGCGAGCGGAAAAAGATTGGCCGTCGTGCATGTTGTATCCGTCGATATTTGTCACTTGAGTGTTTTGGGGCGCTTTTCAAGTGCCGGCACTCGATGGCAGATAGTCGGGCGTTGAACACACATGGCGAGCGGCAACAGATTGGCCGTCGTGCATGTTGTATCCGTCGATATTTGTCACTTGAGTGTTTTTGGGCGCTTTTCAAGTGCCAACACTCGATGGCAGACAGTCGAGCGTCGAGCAAACATGGCGAGCGGGAAAACAATTGCGGTTGTACCTAACGTATCTGCATATGCCAACGCGGTTTGTGATGGTGACGAGCGCTGCCCTAGGTGGAGTCTTTAGTGACAATCGGTTAGGCTAAGGGCCGGACGCTCTTGGCAACTACGAAAATTCGGTGCCGTAAGTTATGTTTGTGTTTAATCTTGCGATGACAAGCGGGCTGAGATTTGACAAGACGATTGAAAGGAGTCGTTCTTGCTGTTTGCGGCAGGTACTACCGCCAATGATTTGAGTGATATCCTGTTCGCGGCACAGAATTACTGGAGATGAAGCGCTTCTGATATGAAGGGACATTGGGCGAGGGACTGTCCTCAAAACAGGAAAAAGCAATGGTGCCTTAAACATGAAATGTAGAGATGATTTATTTCTAGTGAACTTAAGTAGCACTTTACGATTGTCTAAGTTGCTGTGGTTATTTTGAAAGTTGAACCGTGAGTTGCACATATAATACGTTACTACAACGCTTGTTGGTTATTTGAGAGCATACAAGGTTACTTGGAGATGGTCTGTTTCTCGACTCTAAAGAGTTTTACTTACCTCGTTATATGGAACGACGTCCCCCGAAGTAAGTGGTATGGAATTTGTTAACTTGGAACTGTTGCTGGCGCTGTCGGGAGTTGCTCTTGCATGATCTAGCGCCACACAGACAGTGGAGATTACAGAGCTATTGACTTTACTTACGCCTTAAGATACAGTGATTGTGGGTTACAGACTGGTTCGGCGTAGACTCATGAATATGAAATAAAACATCTTGAGCAAAAGTCTTGTTTTGGTTTGTGGATGCTGTCCATGAATTTGTGAAGACCAGGTTTTAGAAGTCGTTGGTTTAGCTTGAACGTAAGTAGTTGTGAATAGGGAAGTGACAGTTTTTCCCCCTTTTTCCTTTTTCTACAGAACGAGTCCTGGACAACACCGACGATTAAAGATTTCGAATTCCGTTACGTTTTCGACCCTTTTGAGGCTTTCAAAAAACACTTACTTAAGGAAGTACTCTGGATTTCTAAAAGTAAAGTCAAAACAATGTTGGTATCGCCTAGCCCGGAAGAAGTATCGGCGGGGAGATTAGAGGCGTCAGCAGACTCATTGCTTTTTAGAGACCCAGATACTTTCCGGGCAGGAGAGATACACAGGCATAAGGAGAGTTGGCAAGCGATCATTGGAGAAGACCAAAAGTCCTTGATGGTAAAGAATTGGATAGAGAACGGTGTATCTCTGTTTGACTTCATTCAACCGTTCACAGGTCGGTATAAGGGGGGAATCATACCATCTCTCAGCTTTTCCCCCTTCTAGATACTTTCCTAATCTCCCTAGCTGTGAACCATTCGCAGAGTTCGTCTCTATGTCTATTCGGGATAGAATAGAGACGGGAGCTGTAACGATTTGGGGTAGAGTAGGTGCAGTACCTTCCCCCTATTTGGTCATGCCATTAACGGTAGAGCCGTCAAAGCCCCGATTGTGTCACGATTTAAGGTACCTGAATCTGTGGATGAAGGACTGTCCCTTCTAACTGGACTCGATCGTAGACTTAACAAGATATGTTGGTAAAGGACATTACCAAACTAAATGTGATGACAAGAGTGGTTATGATCATGTCTTCATCACAGAAGGAAGTAAACCTTTGGTAGGCTTTCAATGGGGAGGTTTTTGGTATGTGTCTGCCACAATTCCCTTTGGCTGGTCCGGTTCTGCGTTCGTCTATCAAACAATAGGGAATGTAGCGATGAGTAGAATCAGGGAGTTGGGCGTTCCATCAACCCTTACATAGACGACAGACACGCGGCTCAGTTGGCGTC